CATAGAATTTTTTGCATCCCGGACTCCATGCATGGGATTATCAAGGGTGGGTTCCTTCTTCTTACTCGTTAAATAACCTATTTTTCTTATCCCTCTAATATACATCACGACCGATCGAGACCGATGTAGGAAATTTTCTCCATTTAGACGTATGGTTGTGATCCGAATGGAATGTGGTTTAGAGGTAGGGGTTTGAGTAGTTTTGGTAGGGTGATGGGAAGTTTTTGAGATATTTGAGATGGTAGACATACCGAGGAATGATAAGAGCGAGCTAGGGTTTTAGGTCATCCGAGACGGCTTTGATACCATCTAGAAAATAGGGTTAGCAAAAGGTATGTGTATTGCTCTCACTTTTCATCATGCGAGTACAAGTTTATATAATACGGTAGTGTAACTATACTAGGAAACTACGAATTTGTACATTAACTACTAATAGATTTGATTTAGCTAATTTATAGGAGCTAACTCCTCAACTCAATCTTCTAGATTGTATCTTCCAACATTTTTTTTTAAAAAAACTAATTATTTAATATCTATATTTTTAAATTTCATTGTAACTTAATTTTTTTATTTTTTAAAAGAAAGAAATAAGTAAAATATACGGAAGAATTGATTAAAAAAAGATAGTTTTTGAAATAAAATAATACTAGAATAAATGTATTTAACAATGATCAAAAAATTAAATAATTAATTTTTTTAAAAAAAAATCAATTGATTTGTTTTTGAAAAACAGAGGGGCTAATTTATAATTTACTTGTGCAAGATGGTAAGGTCAGAAGATATGATATGGGTAGCTAAGCATTGTTTGGTAATATCAGTAAGTGGAGGTGTTCCTAACAACACGGGAAACATATTTCCGAAGAAGTTGACTCGGTGCTTATTGACTTTGATGTTTTGCTGTTTTTGTTATCATAGAATGATAGAATTTGTTCATACATTTATTTTTTCTTTTTTGGACAAATCATAAATTTGTTCACATTTGCTCCTAACGAGTTGATGGACTTTGATGTCTTCTTTCTTTGTCTAGAAATATGTGAGTAATAGGAACTTAGGGAATTTGGGATTCAAATAAACGTCCAGAAGGGAATAATCCGCTACTCCTATAATCCTAATGTTGGAATAATCCTTCCTCTATTTTTTATTTTGTTTCTTTTATTTTTCAGAAAATAATCCACCAACTAAATCCTATCTTTTAAATCAATAAATATCACTGTTTAGATGTAAGTTATGTTAAAAAAATAAAATAAAGAATGGCGTGGAATTGAGTTGAACATAAAAAAAAATGATGTAAGTTAGTGTTAAAAAAATAAAATAAAGAATGGCGTGGAATTGAGTTGAACATCAAAACAAAAATGATGGACTAACTTGAACACTTTTTACATAGAATATAAATAATTTAAATTCTAGCCTTCCTAGGTAATTGAAATATGTATAATTAAAAAAAAAAAATTATATTAGAACTTAACAAAAGTGATAAAAAAATTTTTTATATTGATTCAATTTTTTTTAAAATTTTTTTCTCTTTTATTGTTTTATATTTATTTCTCATTATTAAATAATTTACACTAATCAATTCGTTGATGAGTATTATAAAATTTTTACCTTCCAATCAGCCAAATTTGCATCACGACCGATATATGCACTGAAAATTTTGGTACAAATCTCTACATGGGGTGTGAAGTGGGAACCACCACTCCTTCCCAGGTTTTAGAAAGAGGAGCTCAAAATGGATATGTTCCTAAGAATCAAATTTGGACATTTGTTCATGTTTCCGTGTTTTTCTATCGGCAGGTTGGCAAGATCTTCCATGTTAGGGAATTTTGACAGCTACACATATTATATTTACTACGAAGAACAGTTAAACCAAATTTATTTTTCATCACGAATTACATAAAAATTTCATTTTTTGATTGTTGATTTCCTAAATAAAATAATTGCAATTTTTTAATCTGTCAGGATTTCTTCTCTTTGGAAATTTATCATGAAGTTTAGCTGAAAGAATATGACTAAAACAGAACTTATTGGCTTCATCTTTCAAAACCACGCGAAGAATATTACGAGATTCCATGGAAACGTCAACTAGTTAGATCGTAAAGATAAAATTCCCGACGGTCAGATCTCTCTCTTATAGTCTCATTGTTCATGTCAAAGAACTTAGAAGATTATGTGATGAATTGATATAAGTTTGCTAATTTTCAAAAATCTTAAAAATAATAAATCAATAGAGAGTTCTTAAACCTCAAATTTATTAATCAATAATAACTAAGGGTGAAATGCCTGAAAAATAACTTAAATGGTATGCACTAAACACACAAAGTTGAAATAGAAAAGCAATAAATCGTCTTTAAATCCAAAAACAATCAAAACTTAAAAAAATTGTAATTCCTAAAAAACAGTAATTTGGGCCTATTTTACTGATCTTAAGCTTGAAAGTGCGATTGTTGGAGTGAAATTAAATTTGATATAAAAAAACAATCTATAATGTGGATTTTTGAATCAACTTTTCGAATTGATATGATTTATATCAATCCAACACTTGAATAAAATATTATGACCCTTTAAATTATTTTATTGAGATTTTGTGCCTAGATCCGATCCATTCAATCATCTCCTCCTCATGTCATTGTTGTATTCATATGGCATGCAATTGGTTTACAGACTTGAAAGTTGAAAGAGTTCATAAAATTGAAAACCAAAGGAACTGACTCTGAAATTATTTAGAAAGAACTGAATAAAATAACGAGCACTTACGGACAAGAGTGTGCCAACGAAGAATGCTCAAGAGTAAAAAATGAACCAACAAGTTGGAGGATTTTAATTCTCATCAAATTCTTTCTTTTTCTAAATTTAGGACATTAAGAGCATCTTCAATAGTCTCTTTATATTAAGATTTTTTTTATATAATAAAGAGATTTAGTCCAAATTTCATTTCTAATGCTCTTTTTATCATAATTTTTATATTTAAAATTGAGATACGAGTGTCTTTGGCTCTCTAATACTTAGAGAGTACAAATGACTCTTTATCTTATATTTTATTAATGAAAATTACTATTTTCTATATTATTCAGTATCTTCATCAATAGTCTCACTGCGTTTTATAGATTTTGTCAAAATAAAGAGTTAAAATAGAGAATAAAATTAAAGAGAACATTGATTTTCAATCTATATAATTAATAATCCTCTTTATTTATATTAAAAATGCTTACTAAAAGTGAAAAGCACCATTGAAGATGCTTCTATATAGATTTGAAAGAGCGTGTAACAAAAAGTAAAAGGGCATGTTTGCCCCTAGCATCCACGCTATAATTAAAACTGAATTGTTGATCAAGTCATCAGATTAAAAATTTCTCAATTGAGTCCTTAATAGATACATTAATTGACCAATTAAATTTTGTTGTCCGTTTCGGTTATCTATGGTCGATAAATTCCCTCCAAAATCCCACTTTTTTTTTTTTTAATCGGATGCTTTAATTATAATAGAATTTTGAAGTAAAAAATAGCAGAATTCTTACTTTTTAAGTATTTTGATGCTAAAACACACATACGCAACAATTTATTTGGGATAAATTCATTATTTGTATTCTTATTTTCACCAATTCATCAAAAGACCTACTTTATATATTATCAATTTGGTAAAATGAACTTATTATTTTTTATTTTAATCAATTGAGTATAATTTGTCAAAATTAAAAATTCATCTCAATCAATTGAATAGTGTAACAATTTAAGTCATTATCATTAATTTTTTTTTCAGTCCATTAATATCATTATCATCCCCGCCACTTCTATCCTCCTTATTAAGTAGCTTCGTTTTTTATTTGACAAATTTACTCAATTGATAGAAATAAGAAATATAGGAATTCAATTGATCGAAATGATAACAATTTTTTTTTTTGTTGAATTGACAAAAATACAGGATGCAAATAATGAGTTTTGATATTTATTTGTGTTAAAATTTTGATATTGAAACGCTATAAATCCTATTATTTTAGCATGAAAATGCCCAAAATTGACGGCAATAATTGTGATGGATTGTAGAGTTTGATTGCATCACTGTTTTTAATTCTACGGTAGTGCTACGGGTATTTGGTCGTGTTCATTGTTCAATGTAGAAAATAATTCTATTTTCTAAAAAAGTGTTTTCACAAAAAATGAAAAATAAGATTCTATGATCAAATATGTTTTTTTAAAAAGAAATTTAGAAAACATGTATTTTCAATTCTCAAACTTATAACTAATTTTGAAAAACAAATTTTTTTCTTCATAGTTTTAAGTTTCTCTTATTATTTTTTTCCCCATGTTTTCCATAGAAAACACACGTTTTCATTTTTTTTTAGATAACAAAAGCATCCTTTATTATTAATATAAATTTATAAATTCATCATATATGAAGTTTATGTTAATTCAAGAACTTATTATTTTTTTAATAGAATTTTTAAGAGATCCACAAATCACACTGATCTCTTTATTTGCAAGTTTCATCTGATTTTTTTTTAATATATTTCTAATCATGAAAGAAAAAGATTATATAAGAGGAAAAAGAAAACTAAAGATAGAAAATAAAAAACTATTCTCTACAACTAAAAAAAACATTTTATAAAATCTTTTTTACTAAGTGATGCGGCATTTATTATAAAAAAGATTTTCAAATTATAAAGCATAAATCTTATCATATTTAATAATCTGATAATACTTATAAAATATATTAATTAATAAATTATTAATCATACATTGTCACATCATATAGTAAAACAATATTAGCAAAAGAAATATCCTTAGCATTATCCATTGTTAACAACAATACGATGGAAACCTCAAATTTGAGGTGCTCAATGTATCCGGCCCTTAGCCTCCCTTTTCGGCCCAACTCATAATGAAGCCCAAAGGAACGAAGCAAGATTTATTAAAATCATAAAATTACCTCCTTTCTCGATTTCTTGTGCTTCTGCAGAGCAGGAGGCAGCTTCACTTCAGTCTAGCAGAGCTCGAGGATTGCAATCATGGCTGTTTCAAAAATTGTAATGGCTTCGTTAACCCATTGCCGTCCACTAACCTGTGCTGCCACGGCCACAGCCTCCTTCTATCAAGAGCGGCTGGTCCCACATCCACCAGACCTGATCAAATGGGTGAGGCGCGAAGGTGGGTTCGTGCACCAGGCCGTTCAAATATCCCAAGATGGAACTAATGGTCTTGGTTTGATTGCTTCTCAAGATATTCCAAAAGGGTCTCAGCTTATTGCCCTTCCTGATCATATACCCTTAAAATTTGGAGATGAAGATGGAGTTGATGTGGTGAACTCTGTTTTGGTTAACCTGGCCCAAAAAGTCCCTGGTATGTATTTTGTTTTCCCATCTGTGGGTGTTTGTGCTTTTTTTTTTTTTTTGGTGCTTGTAATTTTTGATTTTGGAAAACTGCAAATTGGTTTTTTTTGGTGGATAGGGATTTTTATTACAGTGCTTCTTTTGGAAGTATCAGTTTTGCTTTATTATGTTCTTAATAAGCTTAGCACGTAAATGCTTGTGGATTAATGTTAGTACTACAATGCAGTGAAGCTTGTATTTGATTGGCCAATATATCCCCATATAAGATAACTCAGAATTCATTGAATTGAAAGCATAGTTCGAGTTGGTTTTTCCATATGAAATGTGGTTTGATTTTGAAATAAAATGCTTCCTTGATGTATGAATTAAGAGCTCAGGTTGAGTAAATAGGAGACTTTGCTAGGTACATATTAGAGGTCCGAAATTGTGAGATTTCTGAAAACTTAAATTCTGGGCCTTTTTGTAAGCCAAATGGTACTTGTCATGTAGACTGGCATTCTGAAGTCTGAAACATGTAAAGGAATGTTGAGTCCCCGTTCTATTATGGTATCTTCGGAAGCAGGATGTTTCTTTAGTTGTTAGATGGATCTGCATTCCTGAAAGAAACGAATTGATAAGGGTGTCAGAGGATATGAAGTAGTGGTTATGGCTATAAATTTTTCTACATGCACATATGCAAATGCCGCCATTTAATGTAGTACTCAAATATGAGATTTATCATACTGATTTCACATAGCCAAGCCTTTTATAAACCACGTGGACAACTCAGAATAGCAAACCAGTATCGTCCGTATAATTTTCGTGATTGGAATATCAACAGAAAAATGCCAAGGAACCTTTAAAAATAATCAAGTACTTGTATGGTAAGAAACCTCGTGAACCTTGTGCTGTATATTTGAGTGTGCATTTAATTACTAGTAAGCATATAGTTGCACCAACATATGACTATTTGAGTTACCCACATGCAGTTCTTCAACATGAGTATGGTATCTCATCTCTTATCCTTTTGTTGATTCAAATAAATTCTCACCAATAGCTTATCTGGATTTCCTAAGAGGAGACACTAGTTGAAATGATATGAATGCAAGCATTGAGCTCATCATATCAATGAACCATTAATCCTAAGGTCCAAGGTGTTGTATCTTTAACAGGCCCCCACATGCAAAAGTCTTTTTGGCTCTAAGCATTGTTTAAGGCAGATCTGCCGTTACTTTATGCTAAAATGAATTTGTATATAAACTGCAATATCCAGGATTTGAACTCTAATTCAGATCAAAGAGGCTTTGATGTGAGAATAACTCAATCAGAAAGACAAAGTTTAAGCTTTGAGGTGAAGGTCAAAAATAGGCTCTTATATCTCAAACAATTTTTTCTCATTCATTGATCCAAAATGATTTTCACCAATAAGGCAATAATTTGAAAAGTGAAGAATGCAAGCATTGAGCAAGTTTATAGTTAGTTCCATTTCAAAGTAACAAGCATGTAAATTTGGAAAGATTTGTCAGAAAGGAGTTATAGTAGCAAAAACAGAGCAAGAAAAAGATGTATGATGCAAGGGCTTTCTGAATCTGATTTTTGGAGGCTGTTTTGGGGTGTGGTTGTTTTGAAGTGGATTTCTGCTGGAATATGAGGAAGTATGAGGGTAGATTTCTAGTAGTCACACATATGGTCCTTAGGAGTCACACCTATGAGGGGGATTGATTCACACAATCAAGCAAATTGCTGGAAGTTATTTTATATTATTGCATTGAAAAATATTGAAAGACTACTACATGCTGTATTTATAGGATTATAGAAGTCCAAATCCTACTACAACAAGGATTCTTAAACCTCCAACATAACTATTCCTATTTAGAATAAGAAAACCTATAACTATTTCTATTTTAGAATAGGAAAACCTAATAATTTAGGACTGAAAAAATAAAATACTTGAACAGAAATATTGTAATTTCTAGATTTTCCAGCAGATATGGAATTACCAAAATACCCTTATCAATTACTCAAGTTCCCTACTAAGTTTTCCATCATTAGCCATGTGCCAAATTAGTGCTTGAGCATTAGAATTATTCTTAGAATGTCTTCTGAAGGCCTTTGGGGGCTGAGGTGGAGTTAAACCAAGTGTGAATCTTCTTGCATGATTGAAATTAAAGTGTACTTGGGAGAAAGCCATGCCATACGGTTTTGCCTTTTGGACTATTTTATAATTTCTTGCGTACATTTGCTATTATTGTAAATGGAGCTTGCTTTTTGAAGCAGCTTCTTCTATTTCATATCAATTTTCTGGGTAATAACTTGTGGTATGTATGTCTTTTGTGTTTTTCTGTCTGTGTTTTAAAGGAACATGCTATATCATATGCCAAATTGATGGTGATATATTTTTGTTGTTGCTTCGTTTATGGAAAGTACTATTTTAATCTTCCAATAATGTGAAACCTTACATCCATAGGATAAGGTTTTCTTTGAACAACATGAGTTTGTAACTCCATGTATTTTAAATTAGGCTGTTTACACTTTTGAATATGAGTAAATTGGACATGTGGGAGCATTTGGCAGAGGAACTGTGGGCAATGAAATTGGGCTTAAAGCTTCTTCAAGAACGAGCAAAGGTCAGCTCCTTCTGGTGGCCATACATCAGCAATCTGCCTCAAACTTATAGTGTGCCTATATTTTTTCAAGGGGAGGATATAAAAAAATTGCAGTATGCTCCTCTTCTTTACCAGGTATTTCAGTGAATCAGCTTGACAGTCATTATTTGCTTCCAAAATCAAGTTCCGAATTAATGGTTGAGGTGCCAAACAAATTCTTATGTACCAAATTTCTGTTGATGAGTGTGATAACAAGAATTATGTTCCTATCTATGGTATGGAATATGGATAATCCTGTGCAGGCAACTTGGGGTTTTAACCTATCCTTGTTTGGACCATAAGATGGACCTTGTTAGCTTTGAAAGTAAGAGCAGTTCATATTTTGTTATACCAGGTAAATAGAAGATGCCGGTTTCTTCTTGATTTTGAACAAGAAGTCAAGCGTGCTGTTGAAAATCTGAAACAAAACGATCATCCTTTTGATGGGCAAGATGTAGATGCCTCCTCCCTTGGGTGGGCAATGTCAGCAGTCTCATCCAGGGCATTTCGTTTGTATGGAGAAAAGCTTCCAGATGGGACCCGCATTGATGCCCCCATGATGCTTCCTCTCATTGACTTGTGCAACCATAGCTTTGATCCAAATGCACAAATTATTCAAGAACAAGATGCAGGGAGTGCAAAAATGCTTATAAAGGTAGGTTTTCCATTTTCTTTTATTTATTTTTGACTCGCTAATATTTTGGGCCAAACAGAAGTTATGCATCAATTTCTGGTTAAAAGTCTTGTGCTTTCTCAAATCAGGTTGTGGCAGAAACACCAATCAAACAAAACGATGCCTTACTACTTAATTATGGTTGCTTGAACAACGATCTTTTCCTATTGGATTATGGATTTGTGATCCCTTCAAACCCTTATGACTGCATTGAGCTCAAATATGATGGAGCTTTTCTGGATGCTGCAAGTGTTGCTGCTGGGGTATCTTCACCTAGGTTCTCTTCACCAGCTCCATGGCAGCAACAGGTTTTGTCCCAGCTAAATTTACACGGGGAAGCTGCAAATCTCAAGGTTTGTGCTTCTCTGTGATGTTCTGACCATTTGTTTCCTTGCCACCATCCTTTTTAATATACTGAAAGGAACAAATATGAAGTTTTTGGGCTTCTCTTAAAATAAACATCTCTCTCCATGCTTTTTATGTAGAGCATTATAGTACCTTTACAAGATCTCTAGGAATCTAACCAAAATCAAAACAGAAGTCTCAACCGACCCTGTTATCTATTGGTTACAACTTGCTAGGATGTTGAAAATCATCTGATTGTGTCAGCATCAATAATTAGAACAGAGATGCTGTCAAGAGTATTTTTTGATAGGAAAAATAAACAAAGAAACTTTGAAGGCATGCAACTCTGCTGGAAGACAAGGGAATAAATTTCCCATTGCTCTCTAGTTTATATAATAATTGAACCACGATACTGTTCTTGCCTGATTAACTAGAATTCAGCCTAAAGGAACCCATAAGTTTTTATTTTTTACTCACACACCCAAGGCTCCTAACAAAACTAGTCTATTAGGATTTGAACTCATGACCTCTTGTTGCAGAAGACTATTATCACTGGGCTACAAGCTCTTTGGTTAAAGGAACCCATAAGTTGTAAGCTTGTTGCAGCTTTTCACAGCTATAACGGTGCCTAACAAAACGAGATTGGTTTTATCTGTATATACAAAACAAATCAGGGTTGTTATTTTATCTCAAATTTCAAGTAATTTTTTTTCTCCTGTTTGTCTCGTCATAACAGGTTACATTAGGAGGTCAGGAATTGGTAGATGGACGGTTGTTGGCAGCCCTTAGAGTACTGCTGACAAGTGACATGGAAATGGTGCATAAGCATGATATGAACACACTCAAATCTTTATCAGCTGATGCTCCTCTTGGAATTGAAAATGAAGTAGGTGCTTTTCGAGCCATTATTGCACTATGTGTGATTGCGCTTGAGCACTTCCCTACAAAAGTAATGGAGGACGAATCCGTATTGAAACAAGGTGTTTCAGCCTCCACTGAACTCGCCATCCAGTTCAGAATCCAGAAGAAATCTGTCATTATAGATGTGATGAGAGATCTAACAAGGAGAGCGAAGTCACTTCTGTCCAAGGACGCAACGGCTCTTCAAGGCTAATTTGTCAAAGAAGGGGTGTCATTTCAAGTTTTAACTACGACTTGTTCGCCCTCGAGGTCACTGTCCAATATAGCAATGCATGCTACCATAACCTTTTTCTCTCTCTTATTGTCCCTGCTTTTTTGAAAATTTGATGGGTTATACCGATTGGTGATTATGTCTCATTCAGTTACAGTACTCTATTTGGGGTGGCGTCCATATCCTCCTTGAAACTGGGTGGTGAGTGGCAGGCTCCTTTAAGTTGCACAATGAGATCAATTTGAAGAAGATCAATTATCAGTTGTAGACTTGGACAATAAGAAATAAATGATACGAAAGAAAGCACTCAAATTATATTGAATCAATGTTGTTTATGAGAATTTTTCAATTTAATATGTATAATATAGTATTTAATACAATATGTGTATTTTATTTTTAAGTTTAAATATTTCATTTGAATATGTTTTATTTTGATCAGTAAAAAAAAAAAAAACAAGTAATGATTTATTTAACAAAAAAATCCAATTAGAAGAGTCAACAAGTGGTCGAAGGCAAAAACCAATACCTAAGGGTGCTAAGTCAATGCTTATTATAACTAAACTACAGTAAAAACCCATGTCATTTCATATTGTTTATAATTATAATATTGATCCAAGGTGGCAAAAGCCCTATGCTCTGGCCTTTGGTGAATGATGGAAGTCTTGACTAGCAAGGTTGCATGGCAAGGCTTTAATCCTTTCATAGAGCTAAATGACTAGTTTTCACTTGTTTTTCTGATGAGAAATATCCGTGTAATGATCTCAACAAAGAAAAAGGATAGAGATGTGGCAATCCAATATTCTGTCCCCGGTCTTGAATACTATCTAAGACTGAAATACAAGTGTTCGTTTAATCCATCAAAGAACTGATAGCAAAAGAGAGCTATGGAATAACCATGAACATGAACAAAAACCAAAAAAAAAAGGAAATTAAAGCTTTCCTAGAGGTCCTTACCCTTGTCTACAACTTCAAAGATATGTACAACTGCTGGCTGCTTGACAAAATCCAAGTCATACACAAGGTAAGTGATTTTGTTGTTTAGATTCCTAGGCCTAATTAATACTAGCTTCTTTCCTAGCTCTATGCAGAACAGAGCAGGATCGTCCATTTTGTTGTTATTCCGATGAATTCTCCAGCTACAACTTAGTTGCCTACTGAGATGGGTCTCTCAGCTTGACCCAGTGGTGAACGTGATCGCTGCCTGTTGATCCTGCATCTTATAACCCGTCGCATCTCTAGCTGCTGTAGAGATGGATGCTTGATCTTTTCGAATTCTTGCTTGATCTTTATAACCTGACTGTGAATTGGAAAACCCACATATTCATGATCTCCATCCCCATCTCTGCCTCTCCTGTTGCTGCTGCTGCTGTAGTAGTAGTTGTTGTTCTCCATTGTAAGGAGCCAAATTTCTTTAAAGAAACCACACTTTAGGCCTTGTATGTCTGCCTGCCTTGTTGAAGAGTCTTGTACGTATTGACAAGTATACTTATATGGATGGATGGCCGTTGGTAAGCGAGAAAGAAAGAGAAAAAAAAAGAAAAAAAAAACATGATTTCTTCACGAATACTTAATTAATATTTGGAAAGAGGGCATTAAGTTTCTCTACATTTCAACTCTTTTTGAAACCGTGTCAACTACAACTATTTGAAAAATGTCGTGTTCTTCATGGTCAAAGAATTGATGGGGTCAGGTGGCAAGTGCTCAGAATGGACAGGTGACTGCCCAACTGCTTTCAATCATAACACAGAAGAGGATTCCTAGTTCCCTCGACAGTTGTCTGCGTTCTTCCCATTCACTAATGTACATACGTATCACATAAGCAATAGATTCAAAAGTTCATTGAACGGCTGTGGACTAGGCTTTGGTCCATTTGCCCCTTCTATTTGTTGAACAAGGAAAACAATTTTAAAATGTTTAATACCTTCGAGTCACGATTACTTCAGCACGAGACAAGCAGCCGATCGTCCAAAACAACACATTTTTCCATAGATAAATTATCGATTTTAAACATTGGCTGTCAGTACTTGATGATTTTGGGCTTTCTAATTAGCTCCAAAATCCCTCTAATTATTATTTTTTTCTTTTTTGAAATGCACAAATTTAACTTGAGATAGCTGCTGTCGTAACACGCGTTTTTTCTTCTTTCCCCTTTTTCCATTTCAAACTTTGAATTAAAAAGTTCTTATCTTTTGTTATTATTGAAGATCAGACCAGTTGTGTTTGAAAATGAAATAAATGGCAGGTTCTCTTCCATTTTTCCATTATGATGAAATTAATAAAAAGAATTATTACAACAGACCATACTAAACCCAATATTTACTAATTAAGCTATATAATTATGTTTTATTTAATTTGGTAATTTAAGAGCCAACTTAACTTTTAAGTGATAACAAACATGATAATGTCCTCTCAATGAATGCACATCAAATGCTAGTAACAGAAGATGATGCAATGCTCCAGCTTCTATGTCCTAGCTGTAAACCCCCAGCAAGTTGCATGAAAGCTTCCACATGCCTCTTGGCAGATCACAATTACGCTCAAAATATAAATAAATAAAAAGATATATCCCATCCTGCAGGGTGGCACAGTGATAAAACCGAAGTTTTTCCGAATTCTAGTTTTGCTTCTAAAAAAAAAAAAAAAATTGGAAAGAAGTAACTAAACGATCCTAAGCAAATCAAAGAGATTGTCCTAATTAATTTAAACAATATATATGTGTTTGCCACCTAGCTAAAAACGTGATACACACCTCTTCACAGGAAACATTTGACGACAAAGTGCTATTAAAGATGATTTTCACGTTTGGTTACTCTTGCTAGCTCTTTGTTGACGTGCTAGTTACGCCGTAGTCGGAAGGTTAATCCTCCGGCTAGATGGTGATCATGGGCGGCTCTCTAATCAGTAATCTTTTACGTGAAGTAATTAGGCATTGTCATCATGTTAATTTGGACGCATTTTCATTTTTCGCACATGAAATCCATTTACAATAAGTCAATAAATATTCATGATTTTTACATAAATTCCAAAAAAGATGGATATAAATATAAAATTTCATTTTAATATATGGAGATCAAATGTTCCACCTTACTATACAGTTGTCGTTATGATGGCTATAGACACGCACACACGAGAATATCATCATCCAGCCGAAAATGAAAAAAAAGTGGAAGATTGTTGTAATGATGGATTGATATCGTATTAGACGAAACATAATTTGAATTTTTTTCTAAAAGAAAAATCTTTTGAATATTTGATTATATATTTACATCAATAAAAAATCATTATACCGTGACAAGAAAGTCATTCTGGATTGATAAAGGTTGTCAAGGCATGCTTAAGAAAGGGGTAAGAAATGGAAAGTTTAACCTTCTTAGTTAAATGATGGCGCAATATCATTTGATATTGACAAGATTGAAAGAAAATAAGCATATTAAGCAAAGCAAAGTGTCTTCACTGCTACCTACTTCGTTCAAGAGGTTGCTTTGCATTACACTTCTGATGCTTGAAAATGAAGCTTCATAGGAATAATTATAGCCGCTCAATTTTAATTAATCCCTCCAGAATCCTGACATGAACGTGATAGCTAGCTAATGTAGCTAATTTCCTTCATCTCTTTTTCCTTTTTACGATAGAGAAGACAACAAAGCTATAATTACTAGCTATTTCCTAGCAAAGATTTGGCCTTAATTAGTCCAGTCTTCTGAAGGGCAGAATCAGTTTAGGACAATGATGGTGAATCCAAACTTTGATGTTTGAGAGGGTTAGAATTTAACTGTTGACGATCAAAATAAATATGTTTTACTTACTTAGTAGTAATTAGATTAAATTCCAAGATTTTCGGTGACAATGTAATCTCAAGGGAAAAGAAAGACTAATCATGAAAAAATAGCGATGGAATCCATATCACTAAATTATAATCGCTAAGATCCTAATAATTATGTCACTAAATCTATCACTATTTAGCGATCTTATATGTCTTTGTCGCTAAGTATCCTCATAATTCCATCGCTAAACGAATGATTCTTTTTTAAATCAATAGTCGTATATTATTAACTCGTAATGACAAATAACTATAAATAACACCTTATTAAAACACGATATATTATTTAATAAAATTAAAATTGTATAAGTTGAAATAAAATAAATATATAAATGCATTAAGATGTATAAAAACATAAAAAAAACTTTTTTAAAAAAACAAGATGTTATTATTACCATCTTTTGCATGATCTTCCGTCGCTCGGGTGCCTGAGAGGAACAGCTTAACTCTTGGGTTGTGGGAGGGTCAACGGGAGGGACGCGAAGTTGTTAGAGATTCTATAATGACCCCATCATTGTCCGAAACCGATTCTGTATGGAGCTAACTTGATTGGTCCGTTGTCTGGATGGTAGCCTCCATCTTTTTGATCATATCTTCATACTAGGTAGAAATCTCATGGATATCATCATTAGGATATCGTGAAGTTGTAGAAAAGGAGTTAGTGCCGAATGTGAGTAACATTGGGACATATAAGTTCTAATGCTGTACACTCTCTGTTTCTTTTTCCTTCCAACAACATCCAAATATATCTTGCATGTTTCGATATCTAGAGATGATGAATCACTCTTGTCTCGCTCCTTAGCAATTGTTTCTTACATTGATCGCACTCACTCCTATGTTATTGAAATAATTGTAATATTAAATCATAAATATATTTTTTAGATTATATCGAAAGATGAATATATATTCAACAAAATATAAAACCTTATCATTATTGTCTGCTAATTTATTATGAGATGGGTTATGACCTAATTTATTATGTTGAAAAAAATAAATAAAATAATATGAGATGAAATAAATGTAAAAATTAATTTATAACACAATGGATAATATAGGATTTACCAAACGCTTAGCGTGCTTGATAAAAAAGATTGACCCTTCGAGTATACTTAGATTGGCCGTGCCGACACCACTCGTCTCCGACATACAATTCCAAGATGCC